TAGACACATCTCACACATGGACAGAACACAGCAGCAGCCTAACACACACACACATGCACACACACACACAGTGACGTGAACTTTGAATTAAAACAACATCAAAGTTTCAATGATGCAGAGAAAACAACTGAAGTCCAAATATAAAGACCGGACACAGACTGGACACAGACCGGACACAGACTGGACACAGACCGGACACAGACTGGACACAGACCGGACACAGACTGGACACAGACCGGTCACAGACTGGACACAGACTGGACACAGACCCACGTCTGACATCAGTCCAATCATCTGGGGCTGGGATCAAACCCTTGACCACCTTGACATGAGGCCATCATCTTCACCCACAGTGCAGGGTTACATGAAGGTGAGTTTCAAACGGTCAATGCCGTCTAGAGGGGTCAAAGGTCATGTACACTACGCACCTTCCCCTGTCTTCGTTGTATTTACTCTGCCCCCGTGTGGACAACCGGTGTATAAAGCGTGTTTATAATATGCTAATGTTGAAGATGACGTAGAGGCCGTTGTCCAGCAGGGGCGCTGCAGTGGTGCAGCAGCTGGCCCTCATTCATCAGCGTGTCACAGTAAATCATGGTGTGAAACGATCAGCAGTAAAGGTCGTGCAGCAGTTACTCACCCCGACGGTTCTCCTCCAGCTCCGGGGACATGTCGTCACTCAGTCCGAACAAAAATCAAACCCTAATCAAAAATCAAAATTAAAATAAAAATAAACGGCTCTGTGGTTAAAGAGACTGAGTCTGAGCCCGAGGCTGATTCCAGTTCTTATCTGGATTTAACTGGGGCTGTCCCTGAAGGCAGCACCGCGGTCTCCGTCTGTCTGTAGTTTATTTATTCATTTCAGATCGTTTTCTTCGGGGGACAAACGACGATGGTATCGATCCTCAATCCTCATCTGAAGAGCGGCAGATTAGAGTTTTTGGTTTTGGTTTTGGTTTTTCTCTGGTCTTCCTCCGATGGTGGTCGTCGGTCCAGCTCAGACAGCTCACGGTGGAAATGTCACAGAAGCGCCGATGACAGCAGAGGATTCAGAAGCAGTCGACGAAACACTTGAAGGTGAGCCTGAAGAATCTCATGGAGAACAATTAGATGGAAATGGTCTGTGGTCTGAGGAGAAGGTCTGTGTCCGCGGCGGCACCAAGTCACCAGTCCAGGACAGAGCCGTGCGTCAGGAGAACGCCGCGGCTCCAAACACGGAGAATGTGATCCGCTGCACCTTCACGGCTCCAGAGCTGCGACCCTCTCTCCTCCTCCCCCTCCCCCTCCCTCTCCTCACCTCCTCCCGCTGCTGCTCGTCGACTAACGTGATTGGCTGAGAGGGCAGCATCAGCACGCAGACCAAACCAGAAGAGTCACAAGGATGGGTTTATGTTGATGACGCTCCCGTTACGTCCTTGACCTGAAAACCCACGCGCTCATGCTAAAACACACGTACGCATGTACACACGCACACGTACACACGCACACGTACACACGTACACACGTACACACGTACACACGCAGCCGCCACAGCAGATGATGAACGGCCGCTGCAGTGGAGGAAAAATATTAAGTAATTAAAAATAAATATAAAGATACAACTGGATGACGTGTGATGCCCCACCACAAGATGGCGTCCCGTCCTGCACCAAAAGGTCTCAGCTCCAAACCTATCCAGAAGTCCAAGAGGTCCAGGTCCAGGTCCAGGTCCAGGTCCAGGTCCAGGTCCAGGTCCAGGTCCAGGTCTACCAGAGGAGAGAGGAGTCAGACAAGTGTGACCCAGGACTGTTCCTTCACTTCCTTAAGTACAAGAAGAGGTCATGTGACCCAAACTGTCAGTCTGGATCAATTAGCCAGAACCAGTCTACAGAACCAGACCACAGAACCAGACTACAGAACCAGTCTACAGAACCAGACTACAGAACCAGACTACAGAACCAGACCACAGAACCAGACTACAGAACCAGTCTACAGAACCAGAC